TCACGTTCTTAACAGGCTTGAAATTTATTTGAAGTTTCTGATTAGTGTTTCTTATCTGGAGCGTAAATATGATATATGTTAATAATTGAGTAGATTTATCTGACCCTGACCCTTATGGTCAGTGTATCTGCGAAACTTTGAAGTCTGTCGAGAGATAAGTCGATTGAACTTTTATTAATTAATTGAACATAACTTAATTTAAAAAATAAATAAATATCACTTACTATACTATCGTATATTTATTTACAATATCATAAACAATTCTGTCGGCGCTTAATAAAATATGGCACCAGTTATTGTAAATATTTCTAATAATAATGCATCAAATGAAATCCATGAACTGTTCTCGTTCCCTGGATACTTGCGAATGAAAGCAACAATAAAGAAATGGTGGCGAAGCAATCCAAAATATTGAGCAATGAGAAAGAAAGCTAAGAAAAAATAGCAAACTAAAGAAATACTCTGAAAAAAAAGAACATCTAAATCATTGACACTAAAGAAAATACAGTTATCAAAATCTCTGGCGCGTTATCTAACATAAAAGATGGCTGCCGTCGTCGTTCTTCGTGGCACGCCATCGGGTGGGGCTAATTACTTAACAAAGTGACGATCTATCATTTCTTCCCATATTTTCACTACTCACACATGCATTTACTTTGTGATAATATCTGGAGACATGCACGCTTTTCGTCTTAAAAAAAATGATGTTCTGAGGATCAAAAATGGCGCCGAGTGGCGTTTTATTAACTTGACCTGGTTTAAAGTGATATCTTTCTTTATAATTACATCGTCTTCACAGATTTTATGTCGTCAAAATTATAATTTTGGCCATTACGAGGAGTGCAGTGTTAATCTCTAAAGGGATTATAGTCAGATTTATTTGTTCTCAAATGGTCAACATAGATTTTACAAGTATCGTAAAATCTACAAGGATGTGGGGTTTACTGTTGGAAGCGCGCGTATAGCTAATATGTCACCAAAAAGCAGAGAGAAAGAGAATACTTTCGCAGCACTAACTTCTGTAGTTTGCGTTCACTTGTGAGAGAATCGATTCCACAGTCTTTCTCTTTGGTTCTTTGATGTTCGCTCTAACAACATTAAATCTATTCTTTTGGTCGTTTTCTTGTTCTCTCCTCGATCTCTTGTGCTCTTATCATTCGTCCTCGAGTGTCATTGACCAGTGATCTATTTTCTTTCAATTGACAAATTGGGGTGGACGCGCTCTGACCTCTAAAACACAAAGTTACCGTGTCATTAAATTTTCGTATTAATCATTTCACCCCAAGCAAGGCGATAATGCAACTAACACACAAGGAGTTACTGGGAATGAAAGAAAATGAGAAAACTTTATTGAGAAAAGGTTTCAGGAAGACAGAAAATGGCGATTGATGTTGTAGTTAAATTGTTGTAGATTGTAGGTGTCAAGAAACGGGAAGGGAGTTCCTCAGGCGAGAACAGAAGTTGCACATACACCCTTGTGCAAATTAATTGAAACAACCGCCTGAGTTTCCTTTCTTTCACCATACGGTCAGTTTTAGATTCGCTGGAGTGACAGGGTGTAATCGATTTCTATTTTTTCCTCACTTTATTAGGTTATCTGCAGTGGTGTGCAGTAATAGGAATCTATTTTCATGGTGCATGATGAAATTTGTTTGGCCTTCAAAAATATTGCGTCATCCCTGATTGCATCAGATTTTTATCACGCCCTGACACTATTGTTTCGACTGTCGATTAGTTGTCCTAAGGCCATTGTCTTCGATGGACGTTACTCCAAGGAAGAGTACAAAAATTGTAATGCAACTCGAACGGACTGGCAAGCCTTTACAGGCAGCAAATCAAAGTAATAGAGACTAGTCCAGAAACTCTCCTGATTTAAATCTAATCGAGAATCTCTGAACAATCTGCGAGGGACGACTTCGTGGAATGGAAATACGAAGTACTAACATCTGCACTAGGTCATGTTTCATTGGAAAAATACGAAAAAAGTAATTAATAGAGGAATTATTTGTTTTGTTTCAATTAATTTCCACAAGAGTGTAGATAATTAAATATTAAAACGATGAGACCTAATTGCCAATCTAGTAGTACGTTTCAATGTATACAGACGAGGTACCAAGGAGGGGAGATAATTAAAA